TTTTTTTTTTTTTTTTTTGTGTGCAAATTCTTGAAAGCAGCCCCTGTCAACCTATGGCTTTACAGGCCTTTCCTTTTTTTTTTTGAGGTGTATGTAAGATGGTCGACTGTAGAGTAAAGGTACCTCACCAGCAGACTGCATCTTTGAACGACAAGAGAACCGTTGTAGAGACTCCAATCATAAAGCATGACTGCGTGTGATTGTGTGTGATTGTAAGGGTCAATGTTTACCACAACCTTTGTTTTGTCATGGGATTGTATCAAACTTTACACGGTAGAAAAGCTGAAACTGTTTATTATTGAAGCTATATTTTGTTAGAGAAAATAACAACATAAATTAAATACTTTATTGTTAATACCACCAACTTTGTTAATTATTTCCTTAAATCAGCAATTTTATTATAATTTCAGCATGTTTTATGTGAAGAGTCATTACTAAATGATATAAAAGGATGGTGTTGTTTTTTTTAAACATCGATACGTACAAATTTGCTCCATATATTATTAACGATACCAATATATAAGCTAGTCAAATTATTTTTGCACTTACGAATAAGATTTCTCATTAAACCGATAGAGTTGTCAAATAAAGTATTTTCTGATCAAAATGGGAATTGTTGAAACCAAAGCATATGTAGGGGCATTAAATAAATTAACATTTTTTTATGTAAAGAGCCTTTGTAAACAAACTAAATTGTTACAACCTGTTAAAATTATTCAGTACGTGACAGACTGTAATGGATTCATATTAAAAATTACCTTTAACCACTCTGAGTTTTGTTCATTTTGTAATTTAAAAAATTACTTGAATCTGTTTATAGTTTTCATAAGAAATTCGTTGGCAGCATGTTACATCAATGATTTTTGTAACATTTGAAAGAACAAGGAAAGAAACACTCAAAGCTAGAAGACTAGTTTATTGACGTTCACATTCTGTTAGCATGTGATTGGTTCAATAATCTGTGGTAAATTTACAATGATTGGTTCAATAATTTATGCTACATGTACTGTGATTGGTTCAGTAATATATGTTACTGTGATAGATTTAGTGATCTAACCAAGATGTACTGTGATACGTTCAGTAATATGTGTTTATTGTATGTTCAGGTTGTTGAGGACAAAAGTGTGTGTTTTTTTTTTTAAATGCTAGTCAGATAAAAAAATCAAGATATTGTTTCGCATTGCTTTAATTGGATCAATGCCATAAAGTATTTACATATTGTACTATTATAGTGTTCTTATGTGGTGTACTAATGTAGGGTACTAATGTAGTCTACTAATGCAATACACTATTGAAGTGTATGTAAACATAGCTTTTTTCTCGTAGAACGCACCCGAACAGAGTACCGGCCCCTTTCTTTAAGTGATTATGCATGACGTCATTATGGTTGGCGCCTAAATGACTAACAAAATGTGAGTACCCGCGTGTTAGGTTTAGACACACACAAAAACGCGCTGAGTGTACTGAGATGGCACGTGCGCTATATAAATATATACTGCCATTCCATCACAGCCATCTACACTTTATACTGTCATTCACAACTTAACTATTTTAGAAATGATTCATTTTCTTAATATTTTTTGTCCACTGTTCGACATTCAAGCTTCCGTGAATTATTCTTCCACATGAAGATATTGTTTAATGGAAATAAAGAACTGACTTTACAGCTTAGTTATATTTTATTTGACCAATTCCCAATTCTAATGCTATAGTTATTCGATTATCTTCTTCTCCGGCAATGTTCCACAAGATTCATAATAGTTTATGACACAGCTTCTCAAAAAAAATTTTTCAATGAAACAAAAACAAATTATTTTAAATTTAAATTCATTTTATTCTGACTTCTATTTAGCTGTGCACAGAAAGTGGGTCAAGCGTCCAGATGCGTGTCACATTGTTGTTGAGATCAACACACCAGACACATGCGACACTTCCACAATATGTGTGCACGCTGAATCATCGTCCATCTTAATAACCGCTGCTGGCTTTGGCATCGTAATTGTTGTTCTTGTAGTTGCTGCTGGCGGCATATCCGTTGTTGTTGTTGTAGTTGTTGTTGGCGGCATATCCATTGTTGTTGTAGTTGTTGTTGGCGGCATATCCATTGTTGTTGTAGTTGTTGTTGGCAGCATATCCATTGTTGTTGTAGTTGCTGTTGTCGTAGGCGACAGCTGGGGCAACTGAAAATGCAAAACGATTTTTTACGTTAAAATGTTTGAAAAACAATTTTTTTTTAAAATATCAAATAGGTCAATACATATTTAGGAATCAATATTGTATGATCTATTTTTAGAACATATTCAAAGGTAATTGCTTTTTTTGATGTTTTAGCTAACAAGTAAACGGTTGCAATAAATTTTTTATACATTCATAAATCTCTTTACCGTAAACGCAAGCATTGTCAGCGACACATTTGCCAGAGTAGGCATCGAAACTGTAGTAGTTGTTACATTGACGGTAGAGAGACTCGCCATAGTAGCACTCGTAATATCCATAACACAGTCCAACAATGGCGTAGGTCTTGCCTTCGTCTTTAGGTCCACATGGGTCTGGGGAATAGGGAAGCCAAAGTAATAATGTTAACATTGGAGATATTTTTATTTATTACATTTGTTTCCCCTATCAAAATGTGATTATTATAGTAATGAAGTAGAATTGATTACGTCGGTAATTCAAGTTTTAAAAAATGACATTATCATTAGTCCACTTATTTAAAATATAGTTTTTATCGGAAATTAGAATCAGTTTATAAATTAACGTACATGTTCCAACACTGGAGTCGTCGCTGTTGGAGTAAGAGCTTCCACTTCCGTAGCTGGTTGAGGCTGGGGCAGTGTAGGATGATCCACTTCCGTAGCTGGATGAGGCTGGGGCAGTGTAGGATGATCCACTTCCGTAGCTGGATGAGGCTGGGGCAGTGTAGGAGGATCCACTTCCGTAGCTGGATGAGGCTGGGGCAGTGTAGGATGGCTTGTTGTAGGCACTGTATTTTGAACCGTATGAAGATGAGGTGGGGTAGCTTGGGACATTGTAGCTGGATGACTTGTAGTTGTCGTTGTCGTAGTTGTTGTTGTAGTCATTTCCAGATTGGTAGCTGTTTGATCCACCATAAGCCTGGGCGTAGCTAGTGCCTGGGTTGAAGTAAAGGCCATCTCTGTACTGGTCGTTGTTGCCTACATTCTTGTATTGGTTACCTCCATAGTTGCTGCCATAGTTGCCGCCATAGTTGCTCTGACCACCATAGGCGTTTCCTGAGCTACCGTAGTTGCTCTGGCCTCCATAGGCGTTTCCTGAGCTACCATAGTTGCTCTGACTGCCGTAGTTAGAGCCACTGTAACTGGCAGAGGCAATAGCCAAGAGGGCGAAACAGACAACCATCTCAAAACGAGCCATTGTTAGATTATAGAGCTGTCAAAGTAAAAATGTTAGAATTATTCCATCAGTATTTAATAAATACATAGAAATTAAACATAGTTTGCCTCTTTACCAATTTCTTTTGTCCAGATTAGGCGTGTATCAGCAGACAGGAGAAGGAATAAATAATTTAGACTCCAGTTTTGGTGAAAGAAAGCGAAAATGTTTATCTATTTTTATTTCATGCTTCTATGGTGAAGAAAAACAACTGTTTTTTTTTATTAATCCTTTATATTAACTTTGCTTTTTTTCGTGGGGATGGCCAAGTGACCCGCTTCCCGTGTAGCTATCGAGCTGAAACTTGGCACATAAACTCTTTGGCAATGACAACTCATTGTATTAAATTTTCAGCCTCAACCCCCAAAAATAAATTTTTCCTGTTTTCCTAGGAGAACATGCAGAAAATTAGACTACCAATAACTTCGCTAGATGAGACTCTTTTAAAAAATATCGCAAATTGGTTTGGTGCCTAATATTTTATTTTGTTTATTGAAATAGTTGTTCATTAAAATAAATATGCAGTGTAAAAGCCGTCGTTGATTGAGTAGAATATGAATAGAGTTCATGGGCGTGAAACAATTAGCTGTTGTAAGCCAAAAGGGGGGGGGGACACTAGTTAGTGATTCCTGTGAAGAGCGTTACTTGTATGAATATGTGGTGTCAAATGTCCAGCCCCACACTCCATAGGTTGATGTTACATTTGATACAGGATTTACACGAGAAAATGTGCTTTTTAGGGGTTGTTAAATTAATTAAAGTATCTGATTCAATAAAAAGGCAAAGAATGAACATCACTTAATGAAATGATTAATTACAAAATTGTTTGGAATAGTGTGAAGACCTAATGAGTTTTTACATTGCCGTAAGAGTATGAATCGAAGCGTCATGGTACATGACTACTGGGCGGCGAGCTACGCAGAGAAAACACGAGCCTATGACAATCCCATTCTTGCTGCTGAACTCTAGCTCCTACTTAATGCTAGTAGCTACTGAGCGCTAGTTAATAGCGATTTCAAGCTACTGTTACTGCAGAAAGTTTGATTACTAATGATGTTAGTAACTGCTGAAATCTTGTTACTACTAAAAACTATCTACTACTAAAAGCTAGTTACTGCTAAATCCTAAGCCTATTGCTCGTTTGGTCCTGCTGAAAGCTATTTACTGCTGAAAGCTACTAACTGCTGAAAGCTACCAACTGCTGAAAGCTTCCAACTGCTGAAAGCTGCTAACTGCTGAAAGTCACTAACTGCTGATCCTAGTTACTGCTGATGCCAGTTACTGCTGCATGCTATAGTTATCACGGTGAGACTTACCTGGATCTCTTACCTCTGTGTGCTGAAGCTAGGAGTCAGACGGCTAGGTGATTGAGCAACTACCCCAGCTCCCCTTATATACACACTGGAAACTTCTTGAGGAATTAAAGGATTTCGTTCTAAATGAGTTTTAGATTCATATTGATTCATATTGATCATCTTCAGATTATCTCAGAAATCTAGGGGATTGGTGGGGGGGGGGGCGGTGGGGGGTGTTTGGACCTCACCCAAAAGTTTCCATTTCCACGTGGCAAGACTACGTAAAGGAAGGTAGGACTAAGTGATTATTTATTAATGAATTCATCCACCGAGTCAAGTCCTTCCTCTCGGGGCGCGTTGATGGTGAGATAGTCACCAGTGAATGATGACTTCTGTTCATAAGGTTGGGTCATATTTACTTAGAATTAACAGTAAGATTGATAGATATTTCATTCAGATATTTCATTTCATGATAGCTTTCTGATTGTTTTACTTTTGTCTAGTTGAACAATCCTCAGAAGTTGCTATGCTTGACTTGTTGATACATGTGTACTTTTAATGCATGCTTAACACAGCGTCAATGTTTTCTCTCTTGAACAGGACTTGCCCAGACGAATGTGATACTAACTACAGGCCTATTCAACCTCAACAAATCTACATGACACTCATCCATTTACACACAGTTTTGTTCCATTTCAAAATGTCTTAATGACCATACTTATTTTAGCTTCTGAATGCTCTCGTATTCGGGTTTTTTTTTTTTTTTTTTTTTTTTCTTATTGCTCTAGTTTTTTTTTTTTTTTTTTTTTTTTTTTGCCATTCAAAAATATTTGCACGTCCTATAACGAGATGAGAACTAATTTGTTGAAAGACTCGTCCCTGTCAAGACTCGGCTCAAAAGATTAAGGACCAGTTTTTGCCAAGCGTCAAATTTCCCCTGGCGATAAAATCTGGTGAATTAAGCGATGTATTTTTACACTATGGTAATTGAGACTGAGGTGATGTTGCGCTTAGCCGCCTAACCCAGAACTGACACCTAACCGTTAAGTCAGGTGGTGGGATTTTCGTCGGAAGAGAACCTGAAAAAAAATGAGCTTGAAGTGAGCGATTGTTCTAAACGATGATAAATGAGTTGAAGTCCTTGATCCCCTTTCTAATATGTCATCGATTGATTTCTACCAATCTATAAAAACAATGAGCTGTTCTGTCTGAAGTCACTTCCACGTCAGACTCAGCTTGTGCACACAGAGAGCCAGGTACGTTTGGTCATAGGGTGAAAAAATTTTTTCATTAGCTATTTAGCTTTCTCACTCTGTGGAAAGGCAATATTCGAATTACAATCAAATTCCTTCATCATTTATCTGAGAATGTTGAGGTAGATGAGATTGCTTTATACAGGGGTATCTGAGATTGCTATGTACAGAAGTATATGAGATTGCTATGTACTGAGGTATTTGGGATTTCAATGTGGCAAGGTATCGGTGATTGCTTTGTCCTTAGGTATCGGTGATTGCTATGTACTTAGGTATCGGTGATTGCTATGTACTTAGGTATCGGTGATTGCTATGTACTTAGGTATCGGTGTTTGCTTTGTACTTATGTCTCGCTGATTGCTATGTACTTAGGTATCTGAGATTTCTCAACTCATGTCAATATTGTTTTCGGATCACAAGTACGTAGTTATGGGACGAGCTTGTGTGAGCACTCTCACGTACATAGACCCCACGGTGGTGTCCATATGGGCAATGCAGAATGAGACCCGTCACAAAACCATGATTTAATATTTATGGGATGATTGTATGGCTCGTGTCCTGCAGGAACGGATGGTAACGCACGGGAACACATCGGAACGTATGCTCTTGTACCTTTCTGTGATGTAAAGAAATAAATATATACATATTTTTGGGGAGGTGGGGAATCTGGAGTGAGTTTCCCCATATTTTCCCGGCACACGGGGATTTTATTAACCGGGATGTCCATTTTAAAGAACCTACGAAAGCTAAATGAATAGATGTTGTATTTTTTTTGGACAAGATTGTCATATAAGAAATCAATTTTGCGGACACCAAATGTTTAAAATATAATTAAGGCAATCTGCACTTATGAGGAATACTTTTGGTATAAGCTTTTAAGCCTTCAGTCTTCAGCCGGAGGCAAGCCACCGCAGGCACAGCTAGTTTCTCTTGACCTGTCAGCGGGTTGAAATGTAAATGTGTCCCACTTTTAAAGTACAGATGGCTTTTAAAAAAAGATCTGTTTCGGAGATTTTGGCATGATCTCATTTATCATGATATAATGAATTCAAATTGAAAGTGGTTTTAGATTTGTCATGGTAATATGCCTTTAAATAGAAAGGGGTTTTAGATTTGTCATGGTAATATGCCTTTAAATAGAAAGTGGTTTTAGATTTGTCATGGTAATATGCCTTTAAATAGAAAGTAGTTTTAGATTTGTCATGGTAATATGCCTTCAGATAGAAAGTGGTTCTAGATTGGTCATGGTAATATGCCTTCAGATAGAAAGTGGTTCTAGATTGGTCATGGTAATATGCCTTCAGATAGAAAGTGGTTCTAGATTGGTCATGGTAATATGCCTTCAGATAGAAATTGGTTTTAGATTTGTCGTGGTAATATGCCTTCAGGTAGAAAGTGGTTCTAGATTTGTCATGGTAATATGCCTTCAAATAGAAAGAGGTTCTAGATTTTTCATGGTAATATGCCTTCAAATAGAAAGAGGTTCTAGATTTGTCATGGTAATATGCCTTCAAATAGAAAGTGGTTCTAGATTTGTCATGGTAATATGCCTTCAAGTAGCAAGTGGCTATATGTGTCACCACCAATCAGATGATTGAAGTTGTTTCATAATTGTGACGTGTGAACGAACGGTTAGGCTCCTTCTATTTAAACATGTTAAACTAGAAAATATCACCCAACGCTATCGAGGTCATAATAGCAGGCACTTTTTGTACTTTATTTATTTAGGCATTTTTTATATAGCGCTTACCTTAAAGCTCTAAGCGCTTTACAATTATTAAAAACATGTAAACTCAGTAAAATAAAAATGAGACACTAGGATAGTAACTACTATACTATAGAAACAATTAAAATGGCTATAAAACTAGGGCTATAAAACTTTCCACATGCTGTTTCGAAAACTCATCACAATTCCCTATTTTAAAAAGCATCATCTTTGTAATGATGTTTACGTATGCAAAATAATTATGCATAAGTTTTAAGAAGCATTTTTCTGCTATACCTTGTACGCCAACCGTTCACCTTTTGGCGCCCCTAAACTACACTTTTGTCCACTAAACATGGCCTTAAATTAGCAAATGTAAATGATCCCTGGGTATTCTTATTTAAATGATCCCTGGGTATTCTTATTTAAATGATCCCTGGGTATTCTTATTTAAATGATCCCTGGGTATTCTTATTTAAATGATCCCTGGGTATTCTTATTTAAATGATCCCTGGGTATTCTTATTTAAATGATCCCTGGGTATTCTTATTTAAATGATCCCTGGGTATTCTTATTTAAATGATCCCTGGGTATTCTTATTTAAATGATCCCTGGGTATTCTTATTTAAATGATCCCTGGGTATTCTTATTTAAATTATCCCTGGGTATTCTTATTTAAATGATCCCTGGGTATTCTTATGTAAATGAACCCTGGTTATATTTATGTAAATGATCCCTGGGTATACTTATGTAAATGAACCCTGGTTATACTTATTTAAATGATCCCTGGGTATACTTATGTAAATGAACCCTGGTTATACTTATTTAAATGATCCCTGGGTATACTTATTTAAATGTTTAAATGATCCCTGGGTATACTTATGTAAATGAACCCTGGTTATACTTATTTTAATGATCCCTGGGTATACTTATGTAAATGAACCCTGGTTATACTTATTTAAATGATCCCTGGGTATACTTATGTAAATAAACCCTGGTTATACTTATGTAAATGATCCCTGGGTATACTTATGTAAATAAACCCTGGGTACACTTATGTACATGTACACACATTTTCTTAACGCCATTGATATGTTTAATTAGTAAATAAATGTTTATTTGTAAAAAATGAATATTACATCTTTTGTTGACAATGTAACATCATTGGATTGAAAGATATCGCCATCCACGTAAAAATGTACACACTTTATTTCCTACTCACAATAAACGTGTAACTAAGAAGGTTAATTATTTATCAAATTCATTCCTTAAATCTGAGTCGAATCTTGTGTTGCCTGGGGCAAAAGGGAAGTATTGTAACCCCACCCCCACCCCCTCCCCAGAGTCTATTAAATAAAAAAAAATACAAAATCAACCAAAGAATTGTAGCCCCTACTTACGTAAACACACTTTCTTGCACTTCATATGGCTTGTTATTATTTAGATGAGTGATACATGCATTAGTGAATAAAATTTGGCTAAGGAGTTTCGCTGCATTGAGTGATGTAAATCGCATTTTTTTAAATTAAATTTACGATGTAAATTTATTAAAGTGTATTTTAGGAATGAAAAAAAAAGGTAAAAACTTATTTTTTTGTGTTTAATTAACAATTTAAAAAGCAATCAACTATATTTATTAATTTTACTTTTAAGAAGGGAAAAATAATTATCAGCTTTTTCACTTGTGGTTATTAAATCAAAGATTTCGAGCTTTGGCTAAAATGAGCTATTCGCGCTAAGACGTCATTTGCGTGTTTATTTAGAGATTATTAACTCTCTTTTTTTTTAAAGAAGAAAAACATGTGTTACTGATTAAAGCGACGAATGAACTCAATCACGTCAAAGTTCAATATCAGTGGTTCCTTAATTTTTTCTGGACACTGTCCCTTTGGTACTATAAAATTCTCTCTAGCCTCTTGTTGTTGCCATTGTATAAATATTATTTAGAATCGTTGTCTTTATGATGTTGAAAATTAGATTTAGCATGTTAAACTGTTTTAGGAAAGTGGAAAAATAAATAAATTTGGTGATGATCTCAAACATTTCAAAGACCAATCTAAAGAATTTTTTTTTTATTTGTGATGTCTACGTAAAAATTGGTTGTTTTAAACAGTTTATTGTAAATATGTTACTGAAAACAGGTTGTGTGCAGTCTATAAATTATTGTAAAAATGTTGTTTTATATAGTTTGCTGTAAAAAGATTTTTTGTTAAACTTATTGTTGTAAATATGTTCCTTTACACGGGCTGTGTAAATATGTTATTGTAAATATGTTTTTGTAAATATGTTATTGTAAATAAGTTGCTGTAAAATAGGTCACTATAACTATGTTGCTATAAATATTTGGTTGCAAATAGGATGGTGTAAATAGGTTGTATTAAACAGGTTGTTGTAAATAGGTTACTGTAAATTCCTTGTAGTTGTTGTTGAAAATAGGTTTTTTTTTCTAACTAGGCTGCTGGAAATAGTTTTTTGTTCTTGATTTCAAAGTTGGTTTGGTCAAAAGTAGACCCATGTTTGTGTTGACCATTCGCTATGTACATTTGAGCATGCAAGGTGCGAAGCTGTTAGATTCTGCCTCACATTTTGACTGGGTTTATAATCGATCCATCTTCATTTCCTCCTCAGCCAAATAACACACACAAAATGGCCCGTTTTGAAATAGTTGTTGGATTCGCCATGTTGGCTTTGGTTGCTGCTAATGCTAAGTATGGCGCTGGATCTGCCCAATATGGCGCCGGATCTGCCCAATACGGTGCTGGATCTGCCCAATATGGCGCTGGATCTGCCCAATACGGCGCCAGATCTGCCCAATACGGTGCTGGATCTGCCCAATATGGCGCTGGATCTGCCCAGTATGATGCCAGCAATTACGACTCCTCTACCGTGGCCAAGAATCTGAATTTGTATCAAGAAGAATCCTACGCTCCATCCAGCTACCAGAAAGGCGGCAATGTCAAGGCCAGTGGTTCCAACTACGGAAAATCTGATAGCTACAATTCAGCTTACACTGCCCAGCCATCTGCTTACAATGCCCAGCCATCCGCTTACAATGCCCAGCCATCCGCTTACAATGCCCAGCCATCCGCTTACAATGCCCAGGCATCTTCCTATGGCAGTCAAGATTACAGTAATGATGCTGATTACAATCTTGGACAATGTAAGTGCTTACATAGTTGTCATATAATTACCTTGTGGTAATGCGAGATAAATGTGCAATATTCTTTTCCTTAGCTATTATTTGATTTATACAATTTAAACTTGACAGAATATGAAAATAAGTTCTTCGAACGAAAGAAGGAATCGGTATATATAGCAATGTAAACATTGCGATGTAAATATATTGCATCTATTCGCCAGACGATGGAGTAGCTATGTATTCATACACTTCGAGTAGTTGCTCACTAGGTCAATCATAGAATGACACTCTCGACTGCATTTCTCTGCGATGTAAATATAACTTTTCAAATATAGCTATTTAAAAGTAGCTATGTAAATAAATGTAAGTAAATATAGATATGTAATTATAGCTATGTAAATAAATGTAAGTAAATATAGATCTGTAATTATAGCTATGTAAATATCTATAACCTTTAGGATCCTTTTTTATTCTATAAAATGTTTAACTTTTTTTTCCATGTATCAATTATGTACATACAGTTGACATAGTTGATTGTTCTGGTATCAAACATAAGACATATAATGGACACTATTGCTGTTTTATGGACCAAAATTTAACATATACTAATATATGGAATACAGTAATTTATTTGCTAATGAAGTTCATATAAATGCCATTAGGAGATTTCAGACCAGTGGATGTCCATGTCCTCTTTTCACTGTCTGGTAAACCCACATCACTACATCAGAGAACACGGTAGATGTAAATTTGACTCAGACACAGACAAGCCCATGTAAACTAAGTCATACTTTATTCCTACTGCTCTATCTAATGTTGGAAATAAGCGAGACTAAGTTTGGGAAAATCTGAAGATAAGAACGCAGCAAAACAACGAACGTGTCGGCAAGAAGCCTTCGTCGGCGAACAAACAACAGTAAAAAAGAGAACTAAAATAACATTTAGCTGAAATGTAGTATCCGAGGGGACACCAAGAGGAATGTGACACAGTACGTCAAGACGCGAGATAAGCAGTGTCCCACAAAGTGGCAAAGGATTTTACTCTCAGTGCAATCGTGTCCTACACAAACACAACAAGCCGTGTGAATTTAGAGAACAAACTGATCCAGGCTTCTCTTTCGCTTATTTCAATGTTTCTCCTCTTATTGTAGTCTCTCCCCTTTGGTGCCATTTGTGTTAGCTTCATGTTTTATCCAACCAGACCCATGTGGACCTCAAGACGAAGGCAAGACCTACGCCGTTGTTGGACTGTGTTACGGATATTACGAGTGCTACTATGGCGAGTCTCTCTACCGTCAATGTAACAACTACTACAGTTTCGATGCCTACTCTGGCAAATGTGTCGCTGACAACACTTGCGCTTACGGTAAAATTGTGATTTTACAATGTTTTTTTTTAAAAATAAGTTGAGTTAAAATAATATTATTTTATTGTTCCAAATAAATGCCATGTGTTTTGATGACATTGTATATGTTCATATTGATGACATTGTATATGTTCATATTGATGACATTGCATATGTTCATATTAATGACATTGTATATGTTCATATTGATGACATTGTATATGTTCACATTCAGCACATGGATAGATCCTCCAATTGGATTTATACTTGTAAAAACACATTTAGCTTTCAATAATTATTTCAGCGATTTAGTTCAGAAACTATCTCAGTAGAATGTTCATATATATCAATATCTATCTCTACATTAGTCAGTCTACTTCAACTGATGAATATATCTATCTCTACATTAGTCAGTCTACTTCAACTGATGAATATATCTATCTCTACATTAGACAGTCTACTTCAACTGATGAATATATCTATCTCTACATTAGTCAGTCTACTTCAACTGATGAATATATCTATCTCTACATTAGTCAGTCTACTTCAACTGATGAATATATCTATCTCTACATTAGTCAGTCTACTTCAACTGATGAATATATCTATCTCTACATTAGTCATTCTACTTAAACTGATGAATATCAAATTAGATAATTATTTTTATTTTAGACTTAGCTTTTTATATCATGCAGAGTTCAGAGCAAGGCAAAAAAAAAGATTTAGAAAATATATATTTAAAAAAATAGTACGACTTTATAACATTTTTTTTAAATTTTTATTCTAGTTGCTCCAAGCACTTATGACAACATCGGATACAATGCCAACAGTGGATACAATGCCAACAGCGGATACAATGCCAACAGTGGATACAATGCCAACAGCGGATACAATGCCAACAGTGGATACAATGCCAACAGCGGATACAATGCCAACAGTGGATACGCCAGTGGCAGCTAGGCTAGCAGCAATTATGGCAAGAACTATTGAGAGTGGAGTGGAAGCTCGTCACGATGACATGAACATAGCAGATGAAGTACAGCGTGTGAAGATTATGACAGATGGCAATCTTAGATTATGACAGATGGCAATCTTTGTACGAGTGTCAACTTGCTCAGCATATCATGTTTATTTAAAGAACGACTTCACTTTATTAAGTTCGGTAATAAATATTGGACTTAGTTAAAACGTCTCATTTTCTTTTTATTCCCGTATTTTTCCCGTATGTTTACCTTACTTGACACGCTCTGGCTGAGAAATCCAAAGAAACATAAAAACATGAGGATTAGTGCAATAGAAAAGTAACAGATAATTATCAGAAAAGGAAGATGAAGATTATATGTTTAATCCGAAATTTAAAAATATGACCTATGAATTAACATTTACAAGTAACAAATATATACATATACATGCATATACATCAACCAACTTGGTTAAGGGATAACAAAGACAGTTTAATAACACTTGAATGATACAGTACTTCGCGCGCCTAAACTTCTCGTCTCTAGAACAGACCAATGAGTCCCCTCTCTAGAACAAAGACCAATGGGTCCCCTCTCTAGCACACAGACCAATGGGTCAACTCTCTAGCACACAGACAAATAGGTCCCCTCTCTAGAACAGAACAATGAGTCCCCTCTCTAGCACACAGACTAATAGGTCCCCTCTCTAGAACAGACCAATGGGTCCCCTCTCTAGAACACAGACCAATAGGTCCCTCTCTACAACTTTGTTAACAAATAACAATGCTATGATAACAAGCACACAAAGACTATGTTAACAAATACACAAAGGCTTTGTTAACCAATACACTAAGATTGTGTTAACCAGTCCTACAAGGCTATGTGAATAAATACTCAAAGGCTATGTTAACCAAAGACCAAGGTTGTGTTAACCAGTACACCAAGACTTTGTTGACATTCAAAAAGTACAGCGGAAAGTATTTTAACGTATAGAGAGTTAGCAGTACTTATTAACGTATAGAGAGTTGGCATTACTTATTAACGTATAGAGAGTTATCATTACTTATTAACGTATAGAGAGTTGGCATTACTTATTAACGTATAGAGAGTTGGCATTACTTATTAACGTATAGAGAGTTGGCATTACTTATTAACGTATAGAGAGTTGGCATTACTTATTAACGTATAGAGAGTTGGCATTACTTATTAACGTATAGAGAGTTGGCATTACTTATTAACGTATAGAGAGTTGGCATTACTTATTAACGTATAGAGAGTTGGCATTACTTATTAACGTATAGAGAGTTGGCATTACTTATTAACGTATAGAGAGTTGGCACTACTTATTCGTTGCTTTGATTTTTATATCCGTGTTCGATTCATACTTAGAACAACACATTCTCCTGACATTGTACATGTACACAAGTACACAGATTCACATTTCTCACTTCATGTTCCGATAGTACCCAAATAATGAATATTTTGAGACTGTTTTGTGTTCTATTTGTGTACATGAAACTCATGACATGTGTGCGGCGTCAACTAAGAGCAGGTGTAGGCGAACTATGGCCCGTGGGTCACATCCGGCCCGCAGCCCAGGTTTATCCTTTGAAGTGAATTAAAAATGAGAATCTCCGATTAGAAATTGGAATGAATGGAACAATATGTGTGGACAATTGCAAGGAGGTTGTTATTTTTTAATCCTTTTCTCATAAAGTTCGGTCTGGACCAAATGGAAGTGCTTGACAACACACAATGATACGCCACATCACCTCTGTCTTGAATGCCCTATCTCATGAGCAGCTGAAAGCCCTGTCTGATGATCAGTTAAAAGCACTAGATTATGAGCACTTGAAAGTGAGCACTTGAAAGTGCTTTTGATGGTAGAGAGTAGAGGACTTTAAGACGCCGCAAAATGCCAGCATGCAAGCACAGCATCATGTTCCACTTGTGCGTCATGTTTGAAACGAAAGACGACTGTGCGAAGTAAGATTTTTAACTTTCAAATATGTTTTCAGTCTTTATTTCATTAATGTCATTTGCCTTGTCGGCAACCCCATTTTAAAGCTTCATGTCACATTTCACATTTTCAAGCGTTTTGTCACATTGCAAATTTCCAAGCTTCATGTCACATTTCACATTTCCAAGCTTCATGTCACATTTCACATTTCCCAGCTTCATGTCACATTTCACATTTTTAAGCGTTTTGTCACATGTCACATTTTCAAACTTCATGTCACATGTCACATTTGCAAGCTTCATGTTACATTTCACATTTCCAAGCTTAATCGTTAATGGATATGAGGCGAGAGGCGAAGGTGGTGACCTCTGGCCGATGATTCTTACTACGCAGCCCTGAGAAGCTGCTCCAAGGCAACCGTTTCGTCCCAGCTGCATCGCAAATTAGTTGCGTTGTGGAAACCCACTGTAGAATCCCTCTTATAGGGCGTCTAATGCTTCCCCGGGATGGGTTGGGGAAGATATTAGGACGTAAAATTTTCCATCCCGACTCCTGAGAAAGTCGATCGTGTGCACTGTGTGCAAACACAGTGTCCTGTGTGCAAACACAGTGTCGGACCGAACGGGTGTCTTTGAGTTAGGACGGCCCCCGGCGGAGACCTTGTCGAGCATACTCGGCTGGGGGCCGTCCTGACAAAGGGACATCCTCGACGTGCCGCTCCACGGCCCGATACCGGGTTGGGGAGGGGTGTTTTGGGGGGAGGGCATAAAGAGCGCAAGCTCGACGGCCCGCTGACGCCATTTCTTAATGTAATATTTCAGCACCTGAGATGTAGAAATAGATTAAAGCTCTGTGTGGCAAGCCGTGGTTAGTAAGTTTCCCTTTCAACAGAAGGGGGTGGTAGGAATAGTTTAAGTACCAGACATGTAGGAATAGCTTACAGCCCTGGGAGGGAATCCCTAGTGTCCCACGACCATGACAGGACTTATAAAAAGGGACCGTAAGATGGGACTAGGGAGAACTCAGCCGGACAGGAAAGCGGACAGTCAGGGAGATCTCCGACGGCTAGGGGTAGAGGCCAGTCGTGAGATCACAGTGGATAGAGAGTCGAACCGGGGACAGTCGGAGTTGAGTGCAAGAAGAGAGAAAGACAACTCGAAGTAACGGATCAATAAAAGAGCAAAGACTACAAACAGCGTTGAGTTGTCTGATTGGTGAAATCCGAGTGGCAGTTGAAGCAAGTGTTACCTTCAGAACAACATAGAGAGACGCGGCAAGGCTCTCTACAAGACTAACTGAACCGCACCTCACACTTGTGAAATACTAACAGAACCGTAGCTCACACTAGTGAAATACTAACAGAACCATTCCTCACACTAATGAAATACTAACAGAAGCTTACCTTTCACTAGTGAGCTACTAACATAAAGAAAAATTTAAGAGACATTCAACGTTATTTTTTTCCCCTTCTTATTGCAGATTTATTTCAACTGAATATTTTTTCCTAACACAGGGCTGATGTTCATTCTATGAGAGGCATGTTACATTAAATTGGGTTAAGAAGCTTATTATGGAGTACCTTCGATCTAGTCATTGAAATTTTGCTACAATCCTCTGCGTGAGTTACAATATTTGTTTACCCCAGGAGTCTTAGACGCGTTACACAATATTTGCTTACTTTAAGAGTCTTAGACGCCACTTTATTGAAAGTGCTCAGTGCTCATTTAAAAAAAAAGCAAACATCAATTACTGGGAGTGACGTCATAAGTCGACAGACTCCAATAACCAGTGTTATTGTATGCATTTATTCATATTTAGAACTCACACAGAGATATGCGCACTGACACACAGAGATATGCGCACTGACACACAGAGATATGCGCACTGACACACAGACACAGAGTATACACATGCACTCACACAGAGATATGCGCATTGACACACAGACACAGAGTATACACATGCACTCAAACAGACATATGCGCACTGACACACAGACACAGAGTATACACATGCACTCACACAGAGATATGTGCACTGACATACAGACACAGAGTATACACATGCACTCACACAGAGATATGCGCATTGACACACAAACACAGAGTATACACATGCACTGACACACAGAGATAAGCGCACTGACACACATACACAGAGTATACACAAGCACTGACACACAGAGATATGCGTACTGACACACAGAGATATGCGTACTGACACACAGAGATATGCGTACTGACACACAGACACATAGTATACACATGCACTCACACACAGAGATATGCGCACTGACACACAGTCACAGAGTATACACATGCACTCACACAGAGATATGCGCATTGACACACAGACACAGAGTATACACATCCACTCACACAGAGATATGCGCATTGACACACAGACACAGAGTATACACATGCACTCACACAGAGATATGCGCACTGACGCACAGACACAGAGTATCCACATGCACTCACACAGGGATATGCGCATTGACACACAGAGATATGCGCATTGACACACAGACACAGAGTATACACATGCACTCACACAGAGATATGCGCACTGACACACAGAGATATGCGCATTGACACACAGACACAGAGTATACACATGCACTCACACAGAGATATGCGCACTGACACACAGACACAGAGTATACACATGCACTCACACAGAGATATGCGCACTGACACACAGACACAGAGTATACACATGCACTGACACACAGAGATATGCGCACTGACACACAGATATATGCGCATTGACACACAGACACAGAGTATACACATGCACTCACACAGAGATATGCGCACTGACACACAGAGATATGCGCATTGACACACAGACACAGAGTATACACATGCACTCACACAGAGATATGCACACTGACACACAGACACAGGGTATACACATGCACTCACACAGAGATATGCGCATTGACACACAGAGATATGCGCATTGACACACAGACACAGAATATACACATGCACTGACACACAGAGATATGCGCATTGACACACAGACACAGAGTATACACATGCACTCACACAGAGATATGCGCACTGACACACAGACACAGAGTATACACATGAGCAGATACACAAAAACACAGAAACAGATCTACAGACACAGCACAAAAACACACCGATGCGCACTCTCTGAAATGCAAAAACACATGCGCCGACACAGAAACACAGACGCACAAGTGAACAGACATACAGACACACAAATAAAGA